GTTATTCACGTTTGCTATCGTTATGTTTGTTATAAAATCAATGTGTTTTACTTAAATTTTAAGCACATTTATCGTAATTGTAATTTTATGACTCGCAATATAATTAGTGGCAATAATGTTATTATTAAATTATACAGTGTTAGTGGACGGTTGCGCCCACTGGCCAACACTGTTAATCCTGTATTTTAATAAATTAATTAAATCTGTGAACATATTTAAAAATAAATTTTCATTTTGATCTTTTTATAACTACTTGTTCACTAAATATCATTTTTGAATATATTAATTTATAAATGATCAAATTTTAAATTCCTACCAACAGTTTCCGTACAATTTATATAAATCTGTGATAATTTATATCATCATGCTATTATTATATAATAGTGGACAGCATAGTTTATTAATAATAATCAACGATAGTAATAATAATAATTCGTTTTTTAATAAATTAACACGTACCATCATGGTAAAAACATTAGAATTAATACCAGAAAATTTATCCAGCTCAAAAATTTGTTTAATTTAATTTTAAAATTAATTTGTTTGAATTATATTTCAATCGATTTAAACATATACTGTTAAAACATTATTTTGCATATTTTATATATATTATACACAGATTATGTAAACACACTTTATATTTATTATGCACTTGTACAGATGAAATTAAATTGTCTAATTTATTATGATATGTAATAAAACTTTAATAAAAATTATGGACAATTATAAAACAATCATTATTATTTACGAAATATTAATGTCATTTTGCTTCATTAAATAATCACTATATTTTTGTAATAAAATTAATTATTTTGTTTACTAAAATTTAAGTATAGTGTCTGTATATAAATGATTTAATCAATAAATGATAAATCATTTAATTACCATGTAGAATCATTATTTTCAATTAAAATTTGTTTGTTAGTAATAAGCGTTTCAAATAGACATCAAAATTAATATTATTTATAATATATTTTAATGTCTTCTTGTTTTAAATGTTTTTACATTGAAAATATCTTTGTATAGGAATTCTGTACGACATAACCTAATTTCATATTACTTCATATTCTCATTATATATCATATAAAATTATATAATTAATATATCAATTAAATATTATGGTTGTTAATCATCATGTATTCATTAGCAAATTATTTTAAAATAATTTTGTCAGTAATAAAAATCTACAGAATATTCTACATATTCTGTGCGATGGGATGTCTGTATCAATGCTACACAATATGTGACATATATTTCGCGTATACAACCGAAACATTTGTAAGTTATGACAATTTTTCTGTTACGTCATTCCCGGCGCTTACCATATGTTTGGACAAAATTGATGTCTTAAGGGATCAATACATTAGACAATTGAATATCACTCATAATAAAGATGACAGGAGTTTAATGATGGATAGAGTGAACAGATTTTGCAATAATTATACGATTCGGGAACAGTTGGATGTATTGCTCAAGAAATACGATAAAGTGATTGGCAATTGTAATATTGCAAAGTCTAAAGCTTTGAATGTAATAAATATCAGTTTCATTGACTTATACACCAATTGCACTAATATTAGTCCCATTCGTCAATCAATTGACTATCGATTGTAAGTATTTGTTATAATTATATTCAATACATATACGCAACGTATAATGACCAAGATAATAATAATTGTAGTAAATATGTTTTAAATTAAAATATTATATAATAATTGATTAAATATATATATTTTTTATATACAAAACAGTATGTGTTTCACATTTATATCTCAATTGGACGGACAATCGGACAGTTTGTTTGAAACGGAAAACTACATAAACTATAGAGACATTAAACTGTTGTTATTTACCCAAATACTAGTGACCCCACCGGCAGTCCAGGTAACGGTCCACCGACGGGACCAACGCTTAGACAGCAAATATTGGGTCCGATTCCATGAATTCCCGCTATCTGTGAGTCCGGGCGACCCAAACAAAGTTTTTTATTTTATAAGTTACAGTCACACAATCGTACGCTCCCTTCCGGCCCCACACCAGACACAGTGTGTCCACTACAGGGACCGGCCGTACAAGACATTAGCCGCTTGCGTACAGGACTGTCGTATACACGAATTGACCGCTCGACTACCCGGTCAATGGCCCGGACACTACCTGTCCTATAATACTACATCCGAGCTGTATATCGTTGACCAACAAATCACGGCTTTAAATACAGTGATAGTCGACGCCCGCATTGGCTACAAATGCAAGCGCCTGTGCGGCCACAGCCCTGAGTGTTGGCAAGAGTTTTACGACATTCGCGTCCGTAAGCTATCGATACCGTTAGACAAGTCAGTGCTGGCCATCACCTGTCCCTACACGCCATCACTTGTCTACACACATACGCCTAAAATACTGTTTGAAGAGTTTGTCTCATATATGGCTTCGTATATCAGTCTATGGTTTGGTTTCTCTATTATAATGCTATCAAATGTTTTACACGTTTGCTATCGTTTTATACGACAAAAATTTGTTATTTATTATACGAGTGCTAAACATATTTATATCAATAATAGTAGTAATACTAATAATAATGTAAGAAATATAACGATTAACATTCATTCAGTCAGACAGCGTATGGCCATAACGGGTGGGCAGTAAAGTGTTCGGATTCGGTTTATTATTGACTAACATAAAATATACGATTTTATAATTAAAAAGATGGTAAACATTATTGATAAAATAAGTCTTAACATAAATAAGTCAATCGCAAGCAATGCCCACACATTCGAAGCGACCGATGATATCAATAAGTTTCTTAACACATATTTTATATTTGCGTTAAAACTCGATGATTACGTGAACGGCATTTACGATATACGCCGACAATTGCCGCTAATTATGGCCCGATTTGTGCTATTAGTAGTGGGCGTGAGGTTTGCCGTCTCGGCGGCGGTAAACACACGTGAAATCAGAATATTTTTGTCGGACTCTAACTATCTGTTGGGTAATCCGCGGGTATTCTCCGCAATGATGAGTATATCGGCGTTTGTTATACTATTCATTGGGTTAGTTGGACAACGGTTGGAAATAATGGGGAAATTGTATTTTGTAAATTTATTATATGAATTAAAATATGGTCTTTTGAAATTTCCAATGAATCGTGATCATAATGAAAGATTTAATCTAATTAGCAATTGGCTCTTAAAATATTATTTCCGACAAACATTTTGGTCGCTTATGTTTGCAACCAATGGTATTATATTATGGTCAATGTTAAGGGCTTATTTTGATCCGAATTCTGGTTTCACAATACTATCGGTCATATTCTGGTCCATTTGTAACACAATCTGGTTGTTTCAAATCTATGGTATGGTTTGTATGGCATTTCTCTTTTGGTATATCAGCACAACTTATTTGAAATATAAGTTCATTGAAATTAACCGAGAGATTGAAATCTGTATTCAATATAACAGCGAGAGAATACTCATGAAAGCCATTGACAAACACTATTTGGTGGCGCAAATTGCTCATGATCATAATATTTTGTATAACCCAATATTGTTTATAGTGTATTATGCGGGCACTCCAGCCATTGAATTATTATTATACCTAACGTCTTCAATTAACACTACATTTGGTATCCGATTTATTAATGGTTTCCAGTTTGTGGTCCTCTTTGGTGTGGTATTTGGGCTAAACTATATGTCCACTCGATTCACAACACCTTCGCATAAATCTCTACCCCTTTTGTACTCATATTTGAAACGCCGGGGAATTTCAGTCCAAAATCGTATCAAACTTTTGGCATTCATAGAGAGGTTGTGTTCACACGATATCTGCTTTTCATGTCTAAACTTATTCAAAATGAGTTCACTTGAGTTTGCATTTTATGTTTACGCCGTTGTTTCCAATTATATGCTTATTATTAATTTTGTTAAGTAATCATAAATAATTGTTAATTATTGTAATATGTAAACATGTTTAAGAAAGGATATTAAATACAGTATACACATTTTAATAATCAATATGTTAAAATAAAATAAATTCAATTGTCAATAATAAAAATGTTCTCTAGACTCGAGAGGACTCGTGTTTAATTTATAACTAATGCTAATCTGTTTTTGATCATAACCCAAATTGTAATTTACGTATAGCAATGCTGTGTTAACCTTGTTTATTTAACCTGCTCATAAAAACTTGTATTTTACCATGTCAATTATGTTTAAAATATATTGAGTTTAACTAAATATATTGTTATAAAATTGATAATTACTGTAATGCGTGAATAATTGTAAAATAAATTTTAATAAAATATTATTGTTATGATATAAGCAACATGGCTAAACTTATGGTAATTCTAGTGTTGTTTTATTATTATAAATACAATAGTTTATGTTGATCATAAGAAAATATATATTAATTAGTAAAACTATCAGTGAATTTAAATCAATTAATTACATAATTTCGGTTATATAAATTAACTATGTTAAACTTTAAATAATATATCTAAACCATAGCATCTAAAAGAGCACAAAATGAGCAAAACTACAATGTATTGTCTATGAGAGCATACAGGCAAAGCCCACCTTTTAAGATGTCTTGATCTAAACTTTAGTTTCTAAAACATATAAATGTTTTGTATGCATAAAATAAAACATTATAAATCAATATTATTAGCTTGTATTTAGCCCCAGCTCTTCCTTTCATTAGTTATGCCCTTTATATGATTCATACTTATATTAAAGTACAGATAAAGGGCATGACTAATGAAAGGAAGGGCTGGGGCTAAGTGTCTTTTTGGGGGATTAGAAAGTCGTCTGGCCATAAGTAGTTACATACAGCAGAAGAATGTTTATAATACGAGTGTTAAACATATTTATATCAAGAATATTAGTAATAATAATAATCTAAGAAATATAAGGATTAACATTCACTCAATCGGGCGGCGTATGCGACGAATGGCCATAAATGGTGGCAAACAAAGTGTTGGTCAAGTGGTTCCCTTATCCAATTAAATGAGCATGTATTACAATTAAGTGTTATAGTGGTACTTATTAGATACTGAACAATTGAAATATTATTATTGGATATCATTTATATGTATTTTATAAATTATTAAATAGTTAAATTAAAAGTAACTACAGTAACGTTAATTATGATATAATTTCATACAAAAGCATATTAAATATAATATTTTAAATACGTTATGTTATTTCTATATTTACATACTTGTCAATATTTATCACTAAATGTTTGTAGAATATGCACTTATCTTCCCACCTGTTGCTAATACTAATTTTTAACGATTATATTTTATTAATTTATGTAAATTTAGTAACACAAAATATTACTACATTTTTAACATTGAAATAGCTTTACACTATAAATCTGTGCAAAATGAAATATAATGTCAATTAATTTAATTATTTGTATAGAACATCTCGGGATATCTTAAAAGTGTTCATTGTAGAAAAGTTCATAATTTGTACATAATTATAATTATTTTTGCAAAAATAATTGTTATGAGTCATAACTTATGACTTATAAGTTGTGAGTCAGTAATTAATAAAATACTGATATATCAGAGAATTGTATAGAAATACAATTATTGTTAATATGCTCCTAATAATCTTGGTAGATAATATAAAGATTATTAAAGAATTCCTGATAAACATATGCTTTACTTCAAATGTTTTCATTAATTCAAACAAAGGTGTTTTTTAATCAATAAATTGCTTAGAAATAAATTATCAAATAAGAGTATATTAGATATTTTGTATTTCTAATGATTTTTAATGCGTTTTATAATAATTGATTAATTATTTATAATAGATTATTTATTAGTGTTATTTATTTTAACATTAATAACTTACATAGTTATTATTGCTATTAGTTTTATTAGTGTTACTTTTAACTACAATATTACTTTTCTAACGCTTAAACATTTCAACCCTTGTTATAATTCCGCAGATTATAGAAATTATATTTCATTTCATTAAAATAATAGTGTATGAAATAATATCAATTAATTATTGATTTATATTAATTGTATACATTTTTTTTACTTTAGTTACTAAAAGATTTATTTCGTGATTAAACAATTCCATCTGCAAAATGGAAGACAAAGCATTGCTTTTGTTTAAAAAGATGAATATTTTTGAATCTAAAAAGTATTTTAAACAACATTTTAATAATTCCGAAATCATTGGTTCGGGTAGTTTTGGGACTGTATTGAAAGTTAATAATAAGTCAGATAATAAGATATATGCCGTTAAAAAAATTGAATTGATTGGTATGTGTAATACATTTTGTATATAATATAATATTATTTTATGAAAAATAAACTAAATATTTAACAACTTATTACAGCTAACATTGAAGAAGCGAAAAGTATAAGAGAAGTGGAAAATCTACAAAAATTAGACTCAGTTTTTGTGGTTAAATATCACGACTCGTGGATCGAAGGCAAACACCTCTACATACAGATGGAGTACTGCCCGCAAACACTCAGAGATATACTGAAAGACAAATTACAAGTATTTGTGAGACAAACCACAGAACCGATGATTATTTACGAGTATTTTATTTTGTGTGAAATATTTCGGGAACTTTTGCAATGTATTGAATATATCCATGGATTAGACCCTCCAATCATTCACAGGGATATTAAACCTGAAAATATATTAATATTATACAATGAAATAAATAAAACATTTATTAAACTGGGTGATTTTGGTTTGGCCATTGCACACGAAAGGCAATCCCAAAGTCACACTCGAGGGGCGGGAACTCCGAAATATATGGCACCCGAAGTGTTTGACAATAGGAAATATGATATTAAAGCAGATATTTATAGTTTGGGAGGTATTGGACACGAAATGTTTGAAATAAATCCAGTGTAAGTAATTATTTAAAAGTATATAATTTACAAAAATACAATACATGTGTCTTTTATTGCATTATTCAGTGGTAAAGAAAAATACATTTCGACCATATTTTCGGCTAAATTTAATCGTTTAGAAGATATCTTAAGATCAATGACTGAATACACGACTAGAAAACGGCCGACAAGTGCTGAAGTACTCAATGACTACAACCAGTGGTCTATCGATAGTAATATAATTTTACAGAATTCAGAATTCAATGAAATACTGAATAAACTTCAATCTAAAGACAAATTTTTATATTTATTTTTCTCTACTAAATTAAATTATACAACATAATAAAGTAATGGATTTAATCTACTTTACAATTTTAGTTATTTTATTAATTAGAAATTTGATATTTTAATAGTTATGTTCGTTTTTATAAGAAATGTTTTTAAATTTTGATATTGTCAATAACTTATTGAATATAATAAAATAATGAAATAAATTTAACTTTATGTTTTGCAATTATGATTACAAAATTGGTCATAATTTGTTCGCAGATATTTAAATTAAATAGTTTATTTTGTCTTAACTACATTTACAACACAACTATACTTAATTCAGATTACTCAATGGTCTTTTATATAGAAATCAAATAAATTAAATGTAAGGCAAACCAACAATGATAACGTAAATGTAAAATATATATAAGATATTAATGGACGCTAGATAAAACATTTTAAATGTGATCATAAAGGTAAAACACTGCCATTGAATTGTATTACGTAAACCATATTCAAACTATGATCGAGGGAGGTAACGAAAAGATAATAATTTCAAACTTTTCCCATTAAATCTACGTTTCCATAGATTTCCACTTAATACCATAATTGATTAGTTATTTATTGCATAAATGTTTGCATTGGTGTTACATTTTAACCATAAAATTACAACGCATTAAAATTTATTATTTGTTAAAAGTGGCATTCAAGTTTATTGGCATTTTGTGTAATTTGTTAATTTTCATATGTAACTTAATAAATTTTTTTATTTAATTATTCAGCAATTATTTAACAATTGTTTTATTAATTATATAGACAAATTAAATTTTATATTTAATAACAATTTCTGTTTTACAACCCACAGTTTAATTATTGATTAATTATATAATAAAAATATGGCAACATCTGCTAGTAGATTAAATTTTACTAAGCTTAAAAAGTCTTTTAAACATGATTTTACCATATCGAAACCAGTTGGTTCGGGCAATTTTGGTACTGTATTTAGAGTAACTCATAATTTAGATGACAAAGTATATGCCATTAAATCAATTAAATTAAAAGGTATGTTAAATATATTTTGTACGTTATTTTATAGAATTTAAAATAAATTTTCCAATTAATAAAGCTATGACTAAAGAAAATAAAAGTATGCGAGAAGTGGAAAGTTTGCAAAAATTAAACTCAGTTTTTGTAATTAAATATTACGACTCGTGGACCGAAGGCAAACACCTCTACATACAAATGGATTACTGCTCGATAACACTCCGGACTGTACTTAAACAGAAAAAACAAGTATTTGTGAGACAATCGTCAGAACCGATGATTATTTACGAGTATTTCATTTTGTGTGAAATATTTCGGGAACTTTTGCAATGTATTGAATATCTGCATGGATTAGACCCTCCGGTCATTCACAGGGATATCAAACCCGAGAATATATTAGTTTCATATAACGAGACGACGAATACATTCCTAAAATTAGGTGACTTTGGTTTAGCTGTTGAACACGAGAGACAGTCTCAGAGTCACACTCGAGGGGCGGGAACTCCACAATATATGGCACCTGTAGATCATCTCAATACTAGATATGACATAAAAACAGACATTTATAGTGTGGGCGGTCTTGTACACGACATGTTTGAAATCGAGGAATTGTAAGTATTTTAAATATCTACAAGAATTTATAGTCAGGAATAAATATATTATTGTTTGTAATTTTTTAAGTGATAAACATAAATACATTTCGACCACATTTTCGGCTCAATTCAATCGATTGGAGGATATTATTGGATCAATGACTGATTATTCGGCTGATAAACGGTCGACAAGTGCTGAAGTACTCAATGACTACAACGAGTGGGCAATCGATAGAAATAATATTACGGAATATTCTAAAGAATTCAGTGAAATATGGAATTTACTTAAATTTAAAAATAATAATTTTTACTATAAATATCTCGTTTGTAAATTGAATTATAATAACACAACTGATAATAATATTGATATCAATGCTATTCAGTTATTTCATGTTTTCAATGACATCAATGGCTATAATGTATTGTTTGTGACAAACGATGATATGGTTTACGGCATGGGATCTAATTATTACGGATCACTTGGTTTGGGACACAATAGGGCTGTCAATACACCACATATTATACCAGAATTATGTCAACAAAATATTCAGCAATTTATTTGTGGAATGGATTTTGTTTTATCCATTAATGACAACAACTGTATACACGGGTGGGGCTCTAATGATAGGGAACAGTTAGCCCGATCACTCACTAAAGATTATTTAAAGCCAAACATCATATCATTGCCTAATAATCCTGTTATCCGTGATATTAGTTGTGGTTTTTATCACTCACTTGTGGTCACCGGTGATGACTGCGTCTACGGATGGGGTTTTAATAGATACGGACAGATGGGTTGTGGAGAACAGCACTCGAAAGTAATGATAAGTCCAACAAAAATACAATTCATAGATAAAGGGATTGAACATAAAATACGTGGTATTTATTGTACAACTTATTCCTCATTTGCCGTCACAACTGATGGCCGAGTCTTCAGTTGGGGTCGAAATAACTGCCATTTGGGACACAATATATCGGATAATGTATTCAAACCACAAATGATTGACAATTTATATAACATCCAAATGTTGTGTTCAACAGTCAATCGAACGTATTTCCTAACAAACAATGGATTCGTGTATTTTTGTGGCAAAGAATATATAGAAAGTGAAGATTATTTAACTCATCAATCAGTGTCTAAATTGTTTGAAAATAATAATTTGCCCATGGTTGGTTTATACACAATTATAGTTAGAGATTGTCTTATTTCATTTAGTATAACTAGTGATAAAATATATGAAATTCATCCCACGAATAAATTGTTTGAAACTAATTATACAAATTTATTTGATTATTGTTTAAGTGAAGATCAAATGACTTATAAAACAATACATTTAAGCGATTATAAAGATTATAATTACAATACTTTTAAGGAATTTAGTGAAAAATGTGGACATTTTCTAAATGAAATGTTTGTAACAATAAAACAATTAAAATATGGTATTAATTGTGATATTATTATTAAATTAATTTATAATTAATTATTTGATTAAAATTACTTTTAGATCAAAATAATATAAACTTAACTCAGTATAAACATTTCTACGATGAGTTGTGTGCATTGGGTTTGGGATGTTTTGGCACTGTTTTCAAAGTTAAACATAAAGGCGATGGAAATGAATACGCGATTAAAATCATTGATAATAATAATTGTGAGTAAATTGTTTTAAAATTTTATAAATATTAAAACTAATCATAATTTATATTCGTTAAAGGAGTTATAATATAATTAGAATTAAAATTATTATAATTAGAAATATATTAAGCATATTTCAAAATTGTTATAAAATTTAATATTTTGCAAATTTAACTTAATATTATTATCAGATAATAAATACGATAACAATATAATAAACGAAATGAACAAATTGTCAAATATTTGTACCAAAAATGTGGTCCAATATATCAGTACGTGGTTTGAAGATAACAGATATTACATACGAATGGAGTTGTGTTCACACAGTTTACGGACAGTACTGTCACTCAAAGGCCCGGCATTTGGCCGCCGATCGGCCGAAGAGGCCATGAATTCGTCGGAGTTTTTTATTTCGTGTCAAATATTCGCAGAACTGTTGAAATGTGTCCAACATTTGCATGATTTGAGTCCAGCAGTGATTCACCGAAACCTCAAACCCGAGAATGTGTTAATCGGAGGCAAAGCCGGGAATTTGTGTTTGAAATTATGTGACTTTGGTTTAAGTCATAATTATCTCATTTAGTTTAAAAATGGCAGCAGTTACCGCACGATTGGAATCACTTGACCGCCCTATTAAGTTTAATTTGCAAAATATTAGATTTTATAACAATTTTGAAATTATGTGACTTTGGTTTAAGTCATGTCTTTAAGAGTTTGTCAGACAATAGAAATCCCGAATATTTATCGCCCGAAGAAACTGACGGACAAACTGTTGATTACAAGACAGATGTTTACAGTGCGGCCAAAATCGCACAAAACATATTTGATATACAATTAACGCCTAAATTGTGAGTATATTTATATAAACATTATACATTAACTGAAAAATCTGAAATATAATATATTAAGTTACTTACAAGGAAACTTGGTCTTGTGCCACGAAGATATCTTGATGAATTGTGTATAATCTGGTAGAATAGTGCATAAAAAATAATTTAGACACAATATTTTTTGCTGATACTCACCCGGGGGGTTGTGGGAGGCGTTTGAACACTTGAGATGCATAGAGTAAATGCATAGCCTGTGCCCCTGCAAGTGTGCATCCACTCTGCACACCCTATGCATTACCACTAGGCATCTCAAGTGTTCAAACGCCTCCCACAACCCCCGGGTGAGTATCAGCAAAAAATATTGTGTCTAAATTATTTTTTATGCCCTATTCTACCAGATTATACACAATTCATCAAGATATCTTCGTGGCACAAGACCAAGTTTCCTTGTTAATATTTATTTAATTCGATTTATATAAGTTTAGTTTACAATTGTATTTGTCGAACAAGTATTTATACAAATCGATGTATTGTATATGTATTGTTTTGTTTTGTAATTTTAGTGAACAACAAAAAAACATTTCGACCACATTTTCGGCTCAAATCAATCGTTTAGGTGATATTTTAAGAGCAATGACTGAATATATGCCTGCGAAGCGACCGACAAGTGCTGAAGTACTCAATGACTACAACGAGTGGGCAATCGATAGAAATAAACTGACGGCTAATCCCAAGGAATTCAATGAAATCCGTGAAACACTTGAATCAAATGATAACAAATTTTTCTATAAATATTTCTTCAGTCATTTTAAGTATACAACAAATCAAACTAAAGTAAACATCAATACAATTAAGTTATTTCACGTTTTCGATGACAAGAATGGGTTTAATATACTGTTTGTGACAAACGATGATATGGTTTACGGCATGGGATTTAATTATTACGGATCACTCGGTTTGGGACACAATAGGGCTGTCAATACACCACAAGTTATTCCAGAATTATGTCAACAAAATATACAACAATTTATTTGTGGAAATGATTTTATTTTATCAATTAATGATAACAACTGTATACACAGTTGGGGCCGTAATGACGGGGCACAGTTTGCCCGATCACTCACTAAAACTTATTTAAAGCCAAACATCATTTTATTACCTAATAATCCTGTTATCCGTGATATAAGTTGTGGTGATTATCACTCACTTGTGGTCACCGGTGATGACTGTGTCTACGGATGGGGCGATAATAGTGAGGGACAGTTGGGTTGTGGGGAAAAGCACTCGACAGTAATAACTCCAACAAAAATACAATTCATAGACAATGGGATTGAATATAAAATACGTGACGTTTATTGTTCGATGGATTCCTCGTTTGCCGTCACAACTGATGGCCGAGTCTTCAGTTGGGGTCGAAATAACTGCCATTTGGGACAAAATATATCGGATAATGTATTCAAACCACAAATTATCGATAATTTATATAACATCCAAACGGTGTGTTCAACAGTCAAACGAACGTATTTCTTAACAAACGATGGATTCGTGTATTTTTGCGGCAAACAATATATAGAAAGTGAAGTTTATTTAACACATAAATCAGTTACCAAGGTGTTTGAAAATAATATGCCCATGGTCGGCCTGTACACAATTATAGCACACAATGAATCAGACATTCGTTCTCTATTTTCAATCGGTATAACGAGTGAAAAAGTATATGAAATTCATTCATCGAATCAATTGATTGAAACTAATTATACAAATCTATTTGATTACTGTTTATGTGAAGAGCAATTGACTTATAAAACAATACATTTAAGCCATAATAATGACTATAATTACAACATCGGAGAATTTACTGAAAAATGTGGACATTTTCTAAACAAAATGTTTGTTATAATGAATAAAACAAATAATGAGTAAAATGTAATATTAAAGACGAGTGATATAAATATTGAATATGTGTTCAAACATGTAAATTACAGAATAATTCCTAATTTAATACCAATTGACAATTAGAAATTGTAATTAATTTATTACACTGTTGGCAAACCTTCTAGTTATTGATTTCTTTCAAAGTAAATGTATTGACAAACAGTTTCATAAGTGAAATACATAATAACAATTTAAAAAAATTGTATGCATTTATATAATTATTAGTAAATAAAACATTATACAGATATTCTACACAGAATTAATTGTAAGAATAATGAAATGATATTTTTCATATATTTGTTATTACATAATATGTTATTAAAAATAATGAAACGTAAATAATAATAGTGATATAATTTTAAAATAATATAGACTTATCAGTAGTCAACCCGATTGGCGGCCTGTGTTCAGTCGGTTTACATTTAATTCCCATTATAGTTGATGTCACGAAATTTTCTATAACGTAGTGTCCGACAACTAACTCATTAAAATGTCACTATAATTAAGTTATTAAAGTAAAATTAGATATAATATTTAGAAAGCTCAATAATTTTTAACATGTATATGATTATCATGGCGAGTATTTGGTAACATTTGAAATGATCTAGCTGAAATAAAAAACCGAGATAAAAGCCCACATCATTTCGGCCAGTTTTCTCAATAAACGCCATTAACTATTACAAAATACAATAATTCACAGAATATTCTGTAACAATAAAATAAAATATTTTAGATTCAAATTTACCTTATATTTAGCGCAAATATTTCTGGTACTCAAAGCGAATGATAAATTATTCAGTGATTTATACGCCCTGAAGGCCTCGTGACCAACACTGGACCTAATGGTCAGAAAACACATGATCATTACCAGACACGACACACGTGGGTAGATTACCATAAGCCGTGGGATTAATACCATACCGGAGTAAATCTCGGCAAATAGCAGTGCGTTGGCCAACGAGGTGTAGAAAAATATGAACACCAGCGCGTATTTGACCCAAAACAATTGGTTATAATCAGCAATTTCTCGATAAATGTTATCCAGTTGCTTTATGATATTGTAGAAACACAGTTTCTACTTTGGTTATATAATTTATAATAACTTGGTACAATTAATAGTCGGGGTTAGGCCTTTAGGCCTAGCCTAATAATTTACTATTAAACTTTCACTTAAATGTAATATTTATTGGTTATCTCATATATGAAATAGAACAATACAATTGATCAGGGTAACTCGTACCCTACAGCTTAACAGACAGTAAATGCTACAAAACAGCGGTTTATATATTTTACGAACATATATACTATATTTATAATTATACAATAAAACAGCAATAGTTGTAATGAATATTACAACATAACTTATATTAAATCTAAAGTACAAAAGGAGATTGAATGAAAAACACTAATTTGTTTATATATTAAAAACGGCTTCCTACAATATAATGTATAAACTTTTCATCGCACTGTTGGCCCATTAAATCAGTCATCACGGTGATCTTTCTGTTTGCCTGTCTCAAACGTGCTACGTGATAAAAACAAACCATATAAAAGTATGCGTGCGCCCAATGGGTGATATTAAACGCGTAATGTATGCCCAGGGCGTTGAACAATGCCCATGGTATGCCGTAAATGATCATGTCTGGATAGACCATGTGCTGATACATTTGGATGTATATCAACACAAATATGATCGAACCTATAATTGTGGTGTTTTGTTTGGTATTTTTGAACCAGAATCTGGTTTTGTGAATAAATTTCTCAATTTCTGGCTCGTCTACCAAACCCAATGAGGCCGGTGTCACAGCACCGGTCAATACGGCAAATGGCCTCATGAATGGTGGCTGTTGTCCAATGGGTACGCCACTGTACAGTCTATTACACAGCGCCTGTACCCCCAATGGTGAGCATGAAGTATTGGCTGAGGCCGAAATTAGTCTGGTACTTTATGTTGAAAAATGTTGAATATTCACCGAGATGTACATTTAATCTAATATTGTCTATTACAATATTATCTCCACCCTTTGTAAAGTATTGTCTCCACCCTTTACATTAAATTATTTAATTTAAAATATGCAGTATTGTGAGTGATGGCCAGACGGTGTCAGCACATTGTAGATTCACAAAATTAAAATTTATAAAACTCTTATATTGTGTGATAACCAGAACATGATATACTGTATAGTACGAAACAAAGTATAGCATATTTAGCGTTACAAACATATGGACTTTTCATTAAATTTTGTAAAAATAAAAATTTAAAACAAATTTATTTCATAATTAAAATTTTACAGATAACACAAAATTGCTTTTTGTCGGCCAAAGCGGTACTGGAGATAAAGTAAAATTAAGTTAAAAGACATACAAAGTAGACAACTATTTATGACTGTTTTTATGAACTAAGAATCAATGCTCTATTTATAACAAACTATTTATAACAAATTAAATTATTTAAAATTATAATTGAATTTAAATTTTGTCATAGAATCTGTAATAATTTAAATGCAATGTTATGTTATATTATAGTACAACGTGCTTGTGGTCAATTACCATGAGCCATTATTGTTACATCTTATTACTCTAACATAATTTTTGCAACTTTTAAATTTTTAATGCTATGAATAAATGTTTTGTTTGTTAGCATTGCATTACTATAATGTGTTGATTACAAAATAATACAAATAGTTAATTAATAGTTAAACATATTTGGCAATTATACCTTATTTATATATAAATATTTTAGTCACATATAATAATAATATTCTTTATTCAGTATTTAAAACAATGCAAAACAGAACATGTTGTGTACATATCTTAATTACAATCATTTATACTATTAATCATGTGGTTGACTATTTGCCATCTTCTCAGCCAACTCTTGCATTTCACCTGGAGCATGATTTTGAGGTTCCGCCATTGGGTATGCATTTGCCTTTGGGTCGGGTTCAGCTAACATTGTTAATAATGTTTATAATTAAAATAATTAAATATACATTAGTATTATATTTAATTTTAGTACATACGAATTGGAGCGGTCAACACGGTAAATGTGGCCATACTCAATACGGCGATAATTAGAAAGATTGT